TTAAACGACAGTAAACTGCGAAAGCAGAGAACTATGCTGTAGCTACCTAAAAATGAATGAAGTGAGTCGAATTCAGAGGAATCAAAGAATTTTGTGGACATATTATAAGATTCCGGTCAAAGTGTTACTTGATAAACTAGTATTGAATCGTTCGACTTCGAATAACACGAATTATTTTTCATTGTTGCTCTCGAAGTGATGCCTACGTTTTTACTGAATGACGTTTTCTTAATAATTCAGTGCCTTTGAAGAATACAAAACATACTATCACACCTTCTGAAGTATTTACTGCCTATAAGCGTGAAGGTGTTACAAGGGAAATTCTGCTTATGGTTCCTAATTTCATAAATAATATATAATATAATAATAGGATAACGAGTGAGAGAGAGACAGATAGAGAGAAGTGAAGGATAGAGTGAGGATATGCCTCAAGTTACTGCCAATATTAACCATAATTACGGCTAAATTAGAGAAACTTTCGAAAAACTTAGCGTTTTTCTTCACATAACAATTCACATACACACACACATATATATATGATAAAGCATATGCATGCGAATTGACCGAAGGCGTTAACTCAACTTTTTCGTAGAGGTCATTTTTATTGCGAACTAAGGTAATTTGTGTGATAATAACTTTAAGCATGAAGTGCACACAATCAAATATGTTAATGTACATATGTATATATTTAGTATATATATATATATATATATAAAACATGTAGGTATGTATGTGTTAGTGTGCGTTCAAACAAAAACATTTGCTTTACTTCACACTTTGGTTATTACTTTTTGCGCATGGGTATTTATCATTGCTAATGTTATTATTGTAGTTTTTGTTTTTCGACTTTCTAAACATTGTATTACGAAGTTGCGAACATTAACGTCGAACGCTAGATAAGAAAACAACTCGAGTTATAGGCAACTAATGTATAGTAGAAGAAGTAATAGTGAAATTCGAAGACGACTTCAGTCAACATTATATCTATACACACATACATACATACGTACATTGCCACATCTATTTTTGTTATGTGCGCATCACTTTGTGCGTCGTTGCTGCCGCGAGGCCAAGTTTAGCTCAGCCACGCGCTTGCGGTCAAAAGTCACGGTGGAAAGTCGTCGGTCAGTCATGCGGCCATGGAAAATCGCAATTTCACTGTGTTGTTATGGATGTGGCTTTATTTAAATATTTTTTCAGATAAATTTGAATAACAAAAACTTTAGTAATAACTTATTCAGCGTTTGGAAAAAAGCACAACACTAAAATTATTTTCCAACACAGCTTGATGAGTCAGGCTGTTTTTTCTTACGAGACAAGTGGGCTTGTTAATAATTGCCTGTAAAATAGATACAACTAATGTCGGTAAAACAACTTTATATGTGTGTAAATATATATAAATGTACTTGTTTTTCTCAATAGGTGGCGTTGCAGACAAATATTTTTAACAATCGTATTCGCTGTCAGTTCCAACTTAATTTATAACCCGTTATAATCACGTGATGTAGATAACTGAAATAAGGATCGACCAAATAGGTAGCTCTGCTGTAATCGAGACTTTTTATACTTTTGACCTAACTTGAAATTAGTAAAAAACTGTAAAATAAAAACTCGACCTGATAGGTGTTGCTGAAGTCAAAATTTTTGGTAAAATCATGTTTACAGTACGTTCGATAAGACGTGAATTTGTCAGTTAAAAAACAGGAGATTTACTATTAAATAGTGACTAGATAGAAAACACTATTAAGACTTTTAATATTAATCTTCTGCTGAATGCTTAGGTACGATCTCTCTAGAGTATATAGTCTGTGCTAGACAAACTCTTTTTAAAAATGGTACTTTGTTTTTCATTATTTCGTACAAAAATGCTGAAGATAGGATGTAACCAATGGCGTATACTCGTAAAGTTCAATTAATCAGGGTCCCACTAGAGTCCATAATCTGTTAGACACATTATTTTGTAGATAAATATTTACGAAACTAAAGTTTTCTTTTATAAAACTTTTTTATTATTAAATATCTATTGAAGATTATGTAGATAATAATCAAAAGCTAGCCGCTAGGTGGCGCTGCAGCAAAAATATTTCTCAAATTCGTATAAGTAGTTTAATATCGACTATTATCAGGTCAGGTCAGGTTGATTTGAAATCGATCGATCTCACTTGGACAAATATTTGTCCATTGTGTCACGCATACACTTTTAAAAGTGGATCACCAAATCCACATAGGTCGACGAAGTGTTTTGAGTTTACAACATATTTTCTTTAAGAAGACTAATCTTTAAGGTTCACTCTGGGTCAGAAGATTCTCGCAGTCTCACAAGTTCTGGTTCTTGACCAGCGCTTGCTGAGCTCACTGAAGATCCAAGGCCAGGACACAAGAAGACATCGGAAAACCGATTCGCTTCCAATCGGATGAAAGAAGCTAAATGGTGCAGTTTGCAGTTTCCGGCAATTCCACTGTGGCCGGGCACCCATACAAGTCTAAAATGGAAGATATTTGAAGCTATGGCTAATGAAGCCATGCACTTCTTGCCTAGTTTTGAGCGCAAAGTGATAGAACTCTTCTATCAGTGATTTAAAAACTTCAAGTGTGGAGAAGAGGGAGGTATTATATTAGACGATCAAAGCTACCCTAAATAAAAGCTCTCTCGAATGGCTTTCAAATCAATAATTTCGTACTGAATGGAATTATCTTTAATTATAAAAAAATTTTAACCAGTTTTTTTATTGCGATGGATCACATATCAATTTCCTATCAAAAATGAAAATATAAAATTTTTTATTAGATTTTCAAAATTTAAGACAGATTTAATATATAGTTGCTTATAAAAAACATTTGGATCGAATATAAGGGATTATTAAAGTACTTCTTATGGAAAAATTTAGAAGTTCTCAAATGCTTTCAGTTTGTTTGGACAACCGATATAATTTGTTCGATTCAATGGTCTCCAACGCTTGTCTAAACATAGAAAGTTATTATTAATAAAATTGAGTTCGATTTAAATAGTCGTTAATATTCGACTTGGAGTATAATTTTAAAAAGAATTGAAATAGTAAAATTACATGAACTGCTTTACAAATATCTGCCTCATCTATATTCAAAGTCTCTTATTGTCAAGTAGAAAAATTATTCGATTATGATGGAACTAGATCGAGTAAGGAGTTATTCACTAAAGCCTACATCTGGATCAAGGTGGATCTAGAGTTTTGTAATATCAAAACTTCAACTACTCTGAAGTAGATCATTTAAATGCTATGCTGAAAACTAAAACATTTTTTGTCGGTAGTAAAACTTCGATAAAGCTACTCTCTTATCGAATCACCCTCTTGTTATTAAGTAGTACTATTTTAAATTAGCATGCTAAGTAATAAAACAATTTTAATACTGTACCTTACTATCTCACATTATATGTATATGAATAACTTTTAAAAAATTAGGAAAAAATACAGAGCGCATCTGTGCCACAACAACAACTCAAGCCTGATTCATTAAATGATTACTTATATTTTTTTATTCATAGCCTTTTAATTCAACAAGAGCAAACGGTTAGCTCCAGCAAATTAATTATTTTAATACCAAAATATTATTTCCCAATAAAATCAGAATTAAGTGGTGGCCACGAAATAATTTCGTGAAATATATTGATGAAGAAGAAGAAAAAAATTAATATTATGAGCAACAGAAGAAAGGCATTAGTCACTTGGTTCATTGGCTGAGCAAGCGCTTTAGGGCAAATTGCTTCAATAGAATATTGTCTGCCGGGTGTGGAAGCAGCAGACAGCGGCGCGGTTATTTGTTAACAAGCTGGTTATTGCCACCAATTTGGTGTTTTTGTTACTTTAGCAAATATTTTATAAACATTTTCTTTTCTTCGTTTTCTTTTTTCGCAGAATATATGGTTTGTTTTTATTTATAACTTTGATTTGATTGATTGATGGATTTGCGCATAATTTGAAGTGCAAAGATGTTCGATTGTTTTTTTGACATGCGAAAAATGAATACGACGGTCTAAAAACGGGCGATTGGTTCTTGTATATAAAGAATGTTTAGGTTTTAAATAATTTTTTTTTCGATTTCATATAGGTACTTATGTTGAATTAAAGAAATAAAGCATATCCAAAATAAACTAACGATATTTGTCCGATTTTTAAAAAAAAAGCAGATTAGATTGCAGAGAGGTAGAACCTTCATGTTTTTATCTCAAGAAATATTTCCCATAGTTCTCAATATATATTTCCAGCGAGGGGCGAACATCATTTCATATCCAAAAATATTTCCCATAGAAGTCTCAATATATATTTCCTAGCTGTTTCTAGACCTTAAGATTTATTGAAATTGGTCAAAGCTTCTCCGTAGCTTTAGTATAAGAGACTTTCTTTCTCAAAAAGTAATATTTTCTCACATTTCCCAAATAAAAATCAGAAATTCTTATAAGATAAAGCAAATACATTCTTAATACCACAAAAAAATTTCTTGATACAATTTAAAATGCCCCCACTTAGTTCAGAAATAATTTTCGGAATTCGACTAAGGCTTCGTAATAAGAAAATATAACATATATGTTCCAAATACTTTTGCTGAAGTGGCGAAGGATATTTTAATAGTAAGCCAAAAAGGTGGGTAAAGCAAATGCTTACCCCAATAAAGTGAGAGGTCGATGGGCCTTTCATATATCATTGATCAAGTCTAAATAAGTATATCTATCTATCTATAGGACTATTAATGTCTGTACTACAAAACATTGATTAGGGTCCGGCAGTATTCGAAACATACCTACAAGATAGAAATCAAAAGTTCTACATATAGCATACAGTCATGTTCTTACGACCAGTTGCAAAGGTAAACAATAGTAGGTAGACACTTTTTAAAATTACGAATCATAATATTGTTTTACCCACACCTTAAAATTTATAATTTTCCGATAAAAATCAAAATTAAACGCTAATTTATGAGATTGGTTGCGCCATCAGAAATTATAAATATTGCGTTGCACTGCAAGAAAACTCTCTCAGTGTTTCTCCCATCTTCGTCTAAACAAGTACTAGAATTAGGATAAATCAAAAATATAAATGTCGCGGCAAATTTTTATATTACAAGTGTTAATTTTGATATTTTATTTTGCCATCCTCTTAGCGCAAGAAGGTGAATATTAAAGTCAGAAGTCACATATTTTTTTAGGGATCTATGTCTGATTCCGTGTAAATTTCTTTTAATGTGTGTATAGCTTTTTATAAAAAAAAAAATAAAAAATGTTGATTTCGGTTGGAACGAAATTAGAATATCCATGATAACTAAAAAAGTCTACTTTCAAAAACTTTTTTGATAGGTCCGTTTTGTATAATTGATTTCGGAATTGATCCCGAAAAACTTCGTGTTTCGTGTTGGAAACTATGAAAAAGGATAAATTTAGCTAATCAAAAATATTTTTATATATCGTGTACATGAAACGTACTGTAATTTGAGAATGTGATATGAAAAGTAAATGCAGAGAATTGTCCGGCTTGAGTTACCGGCTCATTATCCCTTTCGCGTCATATTTCTTTCAGCATTGCGATCACACGATCGACACCAAACTGGAATTTGCCGATAATGAGTGACAAAAGTCTTCATGTGTGAGCTCAGTCTTAGGCCTCTTAGTTACACTTTTAGCACATAAAAGTACTGGTCAAGTTTTACTCTTAAAAAAATTGCGGTTTTCTTTCTTTATTTTTAGGCGAATATAAATTTTCTAATAAAAATGCTGACTACGTGGTTGTTAATGACATGGTAAGTATATTTATAAAATAGTTCTATACACCTTTATTTAAACATTTTAGCTAATTTCGAAATGCTTATAGTCTGAGAGCTTTTGATACTCTACAACCGTGCCGCAACAATAAAAATCGGTCAAGATAAGGAGATCTTAAAGTATTGTAGATTAATATTGAATAAAATCGGGTAGGAAACAAATCGAGCCATTATTTTTACTGGATCAAGAATGATTCGATTATTTGACACAAATTCGAAAATTCGGTATAAAATTTAGGAGAAAATCAAACGTGTTGGTTAAGAGTAGAGTCTCTAGAAACGGTACCGATTTAATTCAACTAGGGATAAAAGTAAAAAATGTTTTTATACTACAAGACTAGTTACTTCACTAGTCCATCTAATATTTAACAAATAAAGTGGTTACCACCCGAGCTATTTTTTTATTTAAAAATTTTGAATCTTTATTTTGTATTTGTTTTCTTCTTTTTATTTACAGAAATCATGGGAGGACGCTAAGAAATATTGTAAAGAAAAAAAAAATATGCAACTAGTTTCTTTCGAGACACAAGAAAAAATGGTTAAATTCATTATTTATTTGTATAAAAGAGGTAAGTTGTTGTTACTTTTTTCTTTATGATTTTTCTATAAACGGGCAAAATTGTTTTGAAACTTCGGTCTTCAATAATATTACAGATTTTATACAAAGCCAAAAAGTACATCCAAACAGTACTTTTGTATTCGCTTATTGGACATCTGGTAACAATCTAGAAAATCCCAATAGATTTATATGGGACACCGTTCAGATGCCAGTAGAATATTTTCATTGGCTGAACAAGCACGAAGAAGCGCCTGGGGGCAAGGGCTGCATTCTAATGGGTTTAAAGACTTTTGGACGCTGGACGAATGCCTCGTGTGATACGCCTAATCTTTTTGTCTGCGAGAAGCCTCATTAAATATGCATTTCATTTAAATAACAAAATAATTGTACGAAGGTGGGAAATAAAAAAAATAATGATAGAAAACAGGCAATGTTTATGTAAAAATAAAATTTTCTTGCTAAAATAGTAAGGCAATCCCGAAATTTGCTATTATCGCAAAATTGCAGACTAGAATTTATTTAAAATTAAAATTTTAAAATATATGATTACTCAAAATCCTTTAACCCTAAGGTAATACCATAAAACCGAAATCTTCCAATCCCGAAAATTTTTTAACACTAATTATTACGTTATTGAATGCTAATTTATATTTTTGCACATTATGTACATTTATAAAAAAAATTCGTAAATCCTGTAAATTTTATAAAGTCTCGAAAGTATCTGAATATATAGCTAAATATATGCGCATTATCCACTAGATAAACATGGTGCAAAACCGATCCATTTTCGGTCGAATTACTGACTCTGCTGGGCGAGCCGACCGAATAATGGACGCAGAGCGCAATGCATCCCGGGAGCCGAACCATTATTTTGGTAATATATTAGCATAATTTGCAAACGTTATTCCGGAGTTAGTCTATTCATTATCAAAGGGAAAACCAACTGGGTATTAACAAACTCCGAGTAAAAAACTGCCTCATGGAAAACCATACGTCTAAAAAATTACTCCTTACCAAAAGTTTTGGAGCTTCAGTTTTATTACAAATACCGAAGGATTTTCCTCATTGCTAATAATTTTTTTTTTAATATTACTTTGAAGTCCTGAATATATTAATCCCGCACCTATTATCTATTTAGAATTTCACTTTTCAAAATATAAATACTTCATTCTCAGCAAAAATTATGCATCCCTAATAAATCAATATTCCTCAAACCTTCAAATCATCAAAACTGGTTTTCATGTAGCTAAATATTATCTGATTAACTCAATACTAAACCTATAAACAATATATCTAACAGTACATACAGTAAACCCCGCTTAAGTACCGAACCCGCTTAAATGGCAACATTTTTGGGCTTAGTACTCGCAAAAGTACTCTTTTAACACCCTAATCGCCTAAGTACGTCAAAAAGCTGGAATTTTTCGTAAAGCACTTAAGAGGGTTTTACTGTAGCTCACTTGGAATCTGACAGCTAACTGTCTGATTGATTTCAGGAATTATGACAGCATATTTGAGTGATATTGTGCATTAACAGGTGAGTTGAACAAAAAATAATCCTGTATTTTGCTGTAAGTCTATAAATTTACAATGTTTCAAACTTACCTTAAATATAAATTGTCCCATATCAGAGGCTCGCTCATTAGCCGAACCGGATGCTCTTTTGAAACAATGCAGATAATCGCGTGTCAGCACAAAGTACCTGTAAAAATTTAATAACGGAAATGAAATGAATATTATAAATTATCTCTATAGAAGAGTGGAATAGGAAAAGAATTACAATGAGTAAGAAATACAATACTTGTAGAAAAAGAATCACGTTTCACATCAGAAATGAAGAATTATTGAAGATCAACCACAATAAGATATTTGAATGTCTTTATAACATAAAGATGCGCTTTAATCCATATACGTATTTCAAATATAATTTTTTTTTATAATTTTCCTACAAAAAACAGGAAAATATTTTTACCATAAGAGATACTACCAGGATTTGATCTTTTAACTGTTAAGCCCTTCTGATATGACTTTAACCTCAAATAGCACCAGACAAATTCTTTTGTGAGATTATACATATAACACTCTTGAACACAGATCCTCAAAAAATCTATCACTTAATGAGCACAGAGTATGTGCTCTCATTACCTGTAAGGCGAAAAGTTTGGTTAAGTTAATACGAATTTGGTCTATTGTCATGGAATATACAAGGTGCAATTCAAAAGTTTCAGGACTTTTATTAAAAACGAATATTAATTGTTTTTTTTTTTTTAATTTATTGGTCGCCTTCAAAATAGTCTCCTTCCGCCTGAATACAACGTTTTGCACGTTCAAGAAGGTTATCGAATGACTTTTTTAGGTCATTTGTCGGTATAGCGTTGAGGATGGCGGTCGTCGCCTTTTGGATGGCATCGACGTCAGCATAGCGGTTTCCTTTCATGGCCAAATGTGGTGGTGCCATATCAGGCGAATAGGGTGAATGGTTGATGATATGAATACGATTTTTGGTCAAAAAATCTGTCGTGAGTGTCGAACGGTGAGATGGTGCAGTATCATGCAATGCGAATGCGACGAATACGTGCTACCAAACCCAGTTGGGACGAATTCTTTATGAATAATGCCCTTGGAATCATAAAAAAAATCAACATTAACTAGATTTTTGAAGAGTTTTTTTCGGCCTGAGGTCTTTTTCGTGTTGTTTCAAAGTCTGCGGGACAAATCGAGCACCAACCTTTCTGAGGCCCAAATTTTCTGTCAAAATACGATAAATCGACGCTGCGGATATTGATAATTCCGATTCCATATATTTAAGCGATGATTTCGGCTCTTTTTTAATGAATTCACGCACAATTTCCGTGTTTTTTTCGTTCACAACATCTTTTGGCCGGCCTGAACGTTCGTCGTCTTCCAAGTCCTCCCGTCTCTCTTGAAAACGTTTAAACCACTCGTGAATACGGCTAAGGGATAGACAATTATCGCCATAAACTTGTTTCATAATTTGATGAGTTTTGGTAAAAGTTTTACCAAGTTTAAAACGAAACTTAATGTTGGATCTTTGTTCGATGCTCATTTACCGACCGACACTACAAATGTAATGTCACATGTGGCGCGATATCTCAGCTGTTATACAAGTCAGCTATTATATAAATTTTATACGACAACACTGAAGAATACACAATTGAGGGATAACAATTTCAGACAGATAGCGCCACTAGAAGCCGCGTTTTTTAAAAAGTCCTGGAACTGAATTGTACCTTGTAGTCTAAAAATGGAGGTATATTATAACGCTGAACTTCTGGACGTCACGTGAACTTAGCAGGCGCTAGTTAACAACTAGCTCCTCTGAGATTCGAGTTAAAAAACTAGCTCCTGCGAAAATCTTCTGACCTAAAGTAGACCGCAGGAAATTCACTGAACTACTAGCTCTTCGCAAGATTCCTCCTGCCGCAAAAGTAAAGTCGGGTACATGCGAAATCTTATCGAACACTAATTGTCAAAATTCTATGGGGGAAGATGAGGTAAAAACATGCAGGTACTCTGTTCTCCATTGCCCAGCCTTTACAAGACTGAGGTTGAAACATTACGGCAGGCATTTATACGGCGAACCTAATGAAATAACGGGAATTGATATTAGGTGCCACAATAAATTTCCGATTTTTCGATTAATGCTTCGGAGTATTTTTTTATCACAATGAGCTTATATAAATAATAAGTACCGGATTTTGAGAATGCCAAAGTATCACTCAAAAGCCCCTTACATAACTTGTAGCGATATGTCAGACAGACCACTTTTTACTGCCTCCAAAAATAATTAAGACACAAGTGCAACCAAACTCCCAAATCCTATAAAGCAATTAAGCTGTCCCCAGGGCGTCACTAATTATCGTTGGATCAACAAAATAAAAAGTACGGCTACGTTTTTCACTTTTTCAATTTTTTTTTATAATCTACCGATAACAATTGGAGCGCACAATCAGCGGAAAAAGTGAACCTAATTTAATTATTTGACAATTCGTTTTATGCCGCTTTATCTCACGTTCCAACATTTTTTTTATTGTTGTAGATGGCTATTTTTTGCCGAGATTTTCAGTTTTTTGCTGGCGCCGCCATTTTTGTTTTTATCTTTTTGGCGACAGTCATACGAATGTCACCACTATTTTAGTGTTTCTTGTTCTGTTTTCCCCACTTACCTTTCCTTCCAGCGCGAAAAGAGGCGATCACGTTGTTGCCATAGCAGTCCTCTTTTAATTGGGCCTGTCATTGAGGCGACTGGTATGCGTCCGGCAAGCAGAGATTGCTGTAATGAAAAAGTATATTGAAAGTGGGTTTGAGTTTTGTGTGGAAAAAATGTACCATTTATATTTTTGAAATGCGTTTACAGTTATGTTATTATGTGTATATATATTTTGTTGGAGCAATTAAATTAATTTTTTGTTATATTGAGGTGGAATGACAAGTAAAGAGTGTTAAGTGTAATTTGCTGGAAAAAAAGGAGTACGGAAGAACAAACTTTTTTTTATGAATGCATGTACTGACGTATGTCGACTTTTTAACAGTAAATAATCAGTTTAGAAGTATTCCAATATGTTTTTAATATTCTTCTGATTAAAACTTCGAACATATCCCTAACCTTGAAGTTTCTTCTAGGAATAATTATTATGGAAAGGAGTTTCAAACCGGAACCCTTAAAACTGCTTCATTGTCAATTCTATACATAATATTAAACCTCCAATATCTCCTCAGAACAATCCTCTAGCAGCATCAAAACGAAAAAACAATTTCCAATTTTTACATGAGGTATTAGAGAAAAAACATACATATATCAGGGACATAATCTGAGGTTTGATATAACATATCTTTAGCGCTACTCTACAGTAGTTCTAAATTTTGAGTACCTTAAACGAAAGCTAATATCCAGTTTTCTATTTTTATAAAAACCAATAAAGCCTTACGCTTTAGAATCTACAAAGTACTTTGAATCTCTTCAGAACAATCCTCTAGCAATATCTAAACGATAAACAATCTCCAAACTCTTGAAACTGATCCATGAGTCATTCTAAACATACGATATGTACTGTGCAGAACAGCAACAGCAGTCACAATTTTTCCTGCCCAAATCAAAAACCAATATCCGGTTCTGGATTTCTTTGAAAACCAATAAACATTTACGGTTTAGAACCTTCGATGTACTTGTTGTCGGTTTCGAGTACTGACGTCATTATTACTAATGAACCAGCTAGGGATGCTAAAAGATAAAGTTTTTTTTAAAATAGTGAGGCGTAAAAATAAATTTACTCAAAACTTTAAATCTTTTCTGGGACAAGTAGGAAAAAGAAAGCTTTTATCATTTTCTAACAGACCTAGTATGCTTAATTTTATAAAGGTACGTATCCAGTCAATGCACATCTTTGGTCATAAAAATCATCAGTAATTCGATGATCTTTTAAAATTCGAAGGACTCTACCTAGCAAAGAATTACAATAGATTTAGAGAAAAATTGTAGATGTACTGAAGGTGAATTTGAGAATATTATTAAAATAAAGTACATTTTAATTTTAATATTTACATTATGTTAAAATAGGTCAATCAGCTGAGGATGTTGTGATG